GATACAATTAGTAAGAAAAAAATGGGATGGGAAAAGCATGTTAGCACTTTTTAAAAGTTAAACTGAGCACGTACACTGTGTATCTCACCGGAAGTCTTTCAATGAAAACTTGATTTGTTGTATTATCAGTACAGCGTACTGCTGTTTTTCAGAGCATCACTGACATTCTTTTTGCTAGAAAAAATTAGCATTCCTATATCATTAGATGGAAATAATTCAAGAAGCAGTGCAAACGAAAAAGGGATTGAGGTGTGAATCACATTTTACAATTAATCAAGGGAGGCATTTTGGCACCTCATTTTTATAAAGAAGCATAACTGTGAAAAATTACAAGTGTCTGCTATTTATCCACATGCTATATATTAAAAAAATAGTAAGCTAGGTTCTGTGCTGACACAAATTCATCCATTCAGCAGATAATCTTTGAGCACCTATTATGTGCTAAGCACTCTGGGAGGCCCTGGAGATGTACAGTGGAGTATCAAAGTCAGCAACATTGTGAAGTAAGACTATCCTCTAAGTCATCCATTAAATGCAATAGGCATGGTTTTCTGTATAAAATCCAACATGTAATTATTTTTCTCTACGAAAGTGAACTAGATTAAGAAGACGCATGTAATAATGGAATGTATGCAAGCGTTTGATTGTCCAAAGCATTCAGGCTTTAAGCGAATTACCGAATCTCTAGCTATAGGAGTATAGGTGAAGCACTTTAAATTTTCCTTCTTGCCCACAGAATTTACTTCACATTTATGAAAATAATACATTCTGTCTTATTGCACATTTAAATCTCAAGAATATTAAAGCATGTTAGTTTATTTCATTTTGATTTTGAAGCATAAACGTTGTAGTAGTATCCAACATAGGGGGCAGGAAATAGAGTTTAAAGTCACTGGGATGAATATACTTATACTGGGCTCTGTTTTGAAGGTATTTACGATTGCTCATTAATTTATGGTTAATTGGGTAACGTTTATGGCTTCAGCTAGGCACCATATGTGACTGAATGAAGTCTGAGTCAGGAAAGCAACTATGCTCTCCCATAGTGAAAGTCAGGATGGACTCATCTGGAAAACTGGGGTGGCTCTTACCCTTCACATGGTGATGACAGTGTTACAAGACAGACAGACTAGGAAGAAAGTCTTCACTTCCATCAATTATTTTTTTGACCAAAGCAGTCACAAGGCCAGTGCTGCATGGAGAGGAAGGGAGCTATCAAGTTACAAAGCAAAGGAAACCATCAAAGCCATCCCTCTGCCATCCCTCTGCACGGGCAAGTACCACTGATCCTCTGCCGTAACGGACACACATACCAAGGCTTGCAGAGGCACTGAGGCAAAGGACCCTTAAATTTTCTCAGGGCAGAGAGAGTGCTGACTGGGTTGACTCATTTAAGAGGAGCAATATTTTTTCTTCTGAGTCATTTCATGTTCCTTTCCCACATACAGTCAAAAATCTAATGTAGTCCATGTTAAAAAAAAATTCCTTTCTTTTTTCCCTTTTTATGTTTTCATACAATTAGTCTCTTTGCCTAGAAAGCTTAGGCACCATTTCTGCATAAGGCAACAAGCCACAGGTCTGTAGCCTACAGAAAGCATAAATCAAGGCCATAGCAAGTGTAAGAGATTAACACTGAAACTGAAACCCAGGTCCCCTGTGCTCGCCTCTGGAATTCTGTGACAGTACATGCTTCTTTTAAGGAATGTCTTATTGTGAGACCTGCCAAGAGGCCTGAGTGACACAGGAATGCTGTGCTTAAGTATAAAATGAATAGGCATTTTTGGAGGGTGGGGGGGAATAAAGACTTTTTTGAAAATGGGAAAATATCTTTTCAAAGACTTAAATGCCTCATGTGAAAACATTTGGAAATTTCCATACTCTCCAAGAAAGAGGAATATCAAGTGAGCAAAGGAACATAGTTAACAGGACATGAAAATAAGTCTGAGATTCTGGGGCTAAGTGATCTACAGCTAGAGAGAATTGCCCCAATCCAGGCAAAGAAAGAGGTTGAAGTAAGAGACAGTGTTGTCATTTCATGGAAAATCCCACAGGGACTTCCTAAACGTAGAGAAAACAAAACCAGGCACTACCTCAGGGAGCTTCCACAGTAGCCGACGGAGCTGCATCTCATTACATCAAGCACTCTTCTGACCCTGGAGGTGAGTCTCACCTCACAAAACTTCCTACCACTGCTCCTATATTGATAGTGATAAATTGTAAGACATAACACCACATAACCTCATTACCCACATGCTTGAGATAAAAGCAATATAAATACTTCTTGACTAAACCACATAAACCAATAAGCCAAAGGGTAGGTCTTCTAACCTTTTCATGTTCGTACGTGAAGTTTGTTCTCTCTTGGATCTTGGTGGTGTCATCCAAATATTTGCCAGGGTTTGGCAACAAAATGTCTATTGGCCTGTTTTTGGCAAAATAATTAAATTTGCCTAAATCTGGCAATGGAATTTTCAATGGCTTATTTTTTTGCCCAACAGATACAATATATATTTTAATTGTCATATCAGAATAGGTAATTTATGCTGGTAATACACAACTTCAAATGTTTGCATGTAAGAGGCATACATGAAAAGCAGACCTCTTCCACCCCACGTAATTACCTAGTAGCAGTACCTCCAACTACTTAGATCTCCTCCACAGAAGGAGCAACTATTACCAGTTTTGCTCTTCTCTAAGACAAGTCCATAAATACCAATCAAATAGTTTATATAAACCCATTTTTACACAAATAACATACTAGTATACAAAACTGCACCATGCTTTTTCACTTAAAAAGATCTTAGAGATGATCATTATTACGTCATTACCTATAAAACACTTCATTCATTTTAATAGCTATGTAATAATACATTGTATGGATAGGTCATAGGTCATAATAATTTTATTAGATCACTGTTATTATACATTTAGGTTTAACAAAAGTTTAAATTAGTAAAAGCCAATGGTCATGTCAATGAGTTTCTCTTAGAACATAATCTTGGATTAGCTGGCGCCTCCCACAAAGCAGCCAAGCCCTACTTTTCTGAAGTCCCTGATTAGATTTATGACTTATTTGAGGCAAACTAAAACACTATTTATTTGAGGCAAACCAAAGTAAGGCAGTTTGTCATCTTATTTTTTACTTGCCTTCTCGTATTTCCTCATGTTCTTTACTGGAAACCCACCCCATCTTAATTTTTACCAATTATTAGTATTCTTCATGCAGAGTTTCAACTGTCTATTTGCATTTCCCTCCTGAAGAGTTCCACCATGGCCTCCATCACCACAGAGCAGGACTTGATTTTTTTCTCCCTCCTACTTCAGAGACATATTTATAATTTATTGTCATCCTAATTACTGTTATGTAAGTCTTAAGCCATGCCTCATCTCCTTTGCCAGACTGCATGCCCACTGAGGGTAGTGATATATAAAACATGGGGCTGTCCTTCACAGGTCTATCAGAGGGCTGTGCATATGTTTGTGCTTAACAAATACGTGTTGCATAAATATATCTCTGGGCTGTGATTACACTGGATTCTGTTAAATTATAATAGGACACTAAACTAGAAGTCCATAGCTATGAGCCCCACTCCTGGCTCTGAAATTGCTATTAGGTACATATTGGATGAATTATTTTAACTCTAAAGCATTTGTATTTCAAAATGGAATAAAATACCTGGACTACCACTGGTTTGTTGTAAGAATCAAATTACGTAGCAGTTTTTTAATAAAAATCAGCATTAGAAAAAAATTCAAACATCTCCCAGTCCAGTCACCTATCCACTGCTCAAAAGCTCTACATATCAACGTCTCTGTAAGTACATGATAAACTTAAATGTGAAAATTTACTAAGGCATAGAAGTCTCACTCCAGTGCAGACACCCATTCCATTTTTGTGCAGCTCTGATATTTAAGAGTGGCCATACAGTAAAATCCTTATTATGCTATTTGATAATGAAAAGTTTGCTATATCTGATTGATTGGTTATCAACCTCTGAAGTAGGCTCACTCTGCTCATTTCATTAATTTCCCAATAACTCAACCCCAAATTTTATACAGAATTGGATTGTTTGGACTACATTGACAGTGTTATTGCAAGATTTTTTAAATCTCAAAATGAATTCTCAGAATGATTCAATGAAATGTAAGAAGTATTTTGTACCTTCTTTTATATTCTGTAGTGCTTAGAATATGCAGTATGTTGCTGCAGGAGGATGATTTCATGAATTTGGATCACTTAACCTCTGTCAGTCAAACCAAAACAATCCCAAACAGCCTGGGTCAAGAACTAACAGAAGATGTATACAAAAACATTTTAAAAACACCATAAACCATAAAAGGGGCTAGTACTATAAACTGTTATAAAAACTCACTGATATTTTCCTTCCTCATTATGCTTTGAGCCTTAAGAAGCAATAAATTTCAAAGGAAGTTAATGTTGAATTTTAAGACATATTTCCCTAGTTTGTTCTATATAAGGATAAAATCAATTCATACATACCTCCACTTAAAATTTAACTATACTCTCTTGAAAAACAGTAGTAAAAACTAGTGGTATTTTTCTATTATAGCATATCTGGGCCAGAACTGGCTGCCTTCAGTCCTTAATAGGCATTTATGTGCATCTATCTTTAACTGTCAGAAACAATATGCAGTTGAAGCAACCTTAAGATATTAAAAAAATAAGTGAGGTGTTCAATGAAGATCTAGAAAATTAAAAATTTCCTGCATTTTTGAGCAAAGTACAAATAATACAATGCATATTCCAAAAAATTTTCCATTTTGCCAAATCATGGCCACAGAAACACTCAGTTTAGCCTAGATTTATGTCATAAGACATCTGCCACCCAGTTCTTCTGATATTACTGCTATAACTAACTGGGCAACACAATCGATACCAAGTAATGAGCAATATTTTAGTCCTTCAAAACCTGAAATTTTAACAGGGGGTCTTTTGAGTGCCTAGTAAGACACACTCAACGGCTGTGAAGGCAACTTACCTTCTGTGTGCACGGCCGACACGTAGGTCCAGTTGTATCTCTTCACTATGTCCACCATGGCCCGGGCCTGCTGGGCATCTGAGGGCACGACCCTCATGAAGTACTTAAACAGAGTCTTGTCGCTCAGGTCCATGCTTGTTGCTGAGTAAGCGATCTGAGGTATGTTGAAAAGCTGGAGCAAGTTCTGGACCTGAATGGCCACAGAACTGGAGCCAGGCCCAATGACCCCTACGATGGGTTTCTTGGAGCGGAAGGAAGAGGAAGAGCCATCCACACAGCGCACCAAACCTTCTTCTTCTTCGGAAGAAATGAGAGAGTCCCTGATGAACTCAATGCTCTGCTCGAGGGCCACGGCTGAATGCCAGCAGGAATCCCTTATCTCGCAGCCCAGGGTGATGTTGGGCAAGAGCATGGGGTCTGAGTTGATCCTCTCCAGGGTGTGCAGCATGGCCTCCACTCTCTGGATGCCATACTGTTCACGGACTGCCCCACACTTCCTCTCATGCACCTTGTCCACGGTGGGCTGGTGGTGGACAGAAAAGAGAGCTCCGATGATGATGTCACCTGGCATGTGAGCCACCACCCTCCTCTCATTGGACTGTGCCCTCCCACGGACATCTTCTCTCAAAAGCAGGACTGACAGGATCAAGAGAAGGACCATTTTAGGAAGGGAGTTCAAGCTGATGAAGATAGCATGGTGGGGAAATTTAGGAGAGTTCTGGTAGATAGTATCAAGTAATGTCCAATGTTGAGTGGCAAACAAAGGAATTAGCCAGCAACTTAGATGTGCTCTCTAAAGGACCACCATGTCCTCAGGTACCATTTAGTTAGATACATCCATGTGATCATGATCTTCAAAACCTGGGGAAAAAAAATAGAATGGGTAAAGTTACTTTTTAGGAAGTCTGCGTACCCCCCTTCAAATGTAATGCATGGTAACTTGAATAACCTTCCAAGTAAACAATATCTTCCATATAAGATAGGAAAAAGCAAATGAGGCCATGCGGTTATTTCCAAGTTAAATGAGCTATAGGAGAGAAGGAAGAGCGTTGTGATATTCCCGAGTAAAATGCCCCCTGAATAGACATCAAGGCATAGTGTAATGGGCACCAGTTTTTGAAGAAAGGAATAATCAGGTTCAAATTCCAGTTCTGCTATGAAGAAGTATTAAAGAGTAAACTGTTTAACCTCTCAGCACCAGAATTTCCTCGTCTGAAAAATGGGGATAATATCTGCTAGGTTGCCCTTATGGGAATCAACACAAGATATCAATTATGCAAATGTCTTGAATATTGAATAAGGCTATCTATATTCAAGACATGACCTTTTCTGTTATTAAATTTCCAAGGGCATTCTGTGGCTAGGTGGTGAGGACAGAAAATTCTTTGGCAACCCCCTCGGTCCTCCAGAGTCTTCAAAGTAATTACAGAGTCTTGTAATAAAATTCACAGTAATCAGCCCGGTATCTCTGATCCAGAGAAAAAAATTTTCCACATCGCAAAGACTCAAAGGCCTGGAAGGATCCACGTCTGGAACTATACTTCTAAACAGACTGAGTTTAGACTTAGTACAGCTATGAATATAATCATCTATTTCAGCTTAAACTTCTGAAAAGAAGGAGACTTTGTCCCAAGTTGCCTACAGCAAATTCTAACATAATTTGTAAAAGGGAACTGACAATTAGTGATTTATTTAAATGACTATATAAGAGACTTCTTTGGATGTTATCATCTCTACCAGCCAAGGATCTCAAATTGTTTTAAAGTAACTAACTTCTTAAGCATCGCCTTTCCAAGACAGGTGATGTTTCTTCTGGAATTTATGCAATTATGCTTCTTCAAGAATACTAACAGTTTTCAAAACTCAACAGATCTGCAAAAATTATAGAAGTCCAGACACAAAATGAATGTAACCTGAATAACAGTTCTAACCACTCCTACCATCATTTTTACCATTTCCTTCCATTGTTTCTTATGGCAACAGAGGAAGGCTTCCTCTGTAGAGTGCCAAACGCTAAAATAAAAACCTCATCAAATAACTACATGTTCCAGAATAACTTGGTGTTTGGCAATACTGAGGGGGGAAAATCAGTTTTGGTATGGAGGATGGCATCGTAGGCAAGCAGGAAGGGAACAATGACTTAAACTAATTTCTAATTGGGAAATTATATAAAAATTCTCAGGCTTTCCTTGTACTTTGCTTAGACTAGAAACTGGGTACCAATGCTTATTCTCATGATCATGTGAATTCTACCACGGACAAAAAGAAACACCTGAAGTAAAAGGAAATATAATTTCTTATTAAATCCAGAATGTTAACGAGCAAATGTAATATCAAAACAGAACTCCTTTTATCATGTAAGAGCATCAACATGCTAGGAGAAACTAGAAGTGGTCCATCAAACTAATAAAACTTAATATCAATCCCATGCATTTTTTTAGTTATTTTAGACAAACTCTCCATATTGAGACACAGTGTATGTGTGTGTATGTGTTTGTGTGCATGTATACATACTCTATATAATAAACTGAAGGATTGTCTTCCTGTTATAGGTTATTAATCATTTAACTCACTCAACAAATATCTATTGAGTGGGAGAAACTAATGTAACAAAGATGTGCAATGCACATTGATAAAGACCATCATTCTTTCATCAAGCACCCATTATACACCAGGCTTTTATTCATTAACTCATTTAGCAAATATTTAAGGCACACTATGCTATAATTCTCTCTTGGGAATTAAATATTCAAGAGAGAACAGCTATAGATGCTCCCTATACTCATGGGGCTTAAAGATCAGTACTCTAAAAGATGACTTTTGCAGGCTCCTGATTAGGAAAAGAACAACAAACTGAAGATTGAAAAGAAGTCAGTCAAGTGAGAAGTATGGCTAGCACATAAAGAATGGAAAGGATAGTGACAAAAGATGAGGATGGAAAGATAAAATAAAGGCCAGATCATGTAGGATCTTAAAGGCTCTTAAAAGAATTTGGATGTAAAGTGCAATAAAAGACTTTGGGGAGATGTAAACAAATGACTGGCACAATTCAAACCCAGAAAAGGTTGTTGTAGCTGCTCATTTTTCTGGATAATGGACTGGAGAAATCTGATTAGGAGACTCTAAAAATAATTTAGACTTGGGGACTCTCTTGTCCCCTCCTGGCATGAGCCAGGAGCTCTGTCCTCTCACTTGATCTTTAAATAAAAGCCACTGCCTTGCTCTCCTAAAAAAAATAAAAAATAAAAAAATAATAATTTAGACTTGGCTATGAGTGGTGACAGTAGCTATGGAGAGAAGTGGGCACAATCAGATATATTTTACAAGTAGAATCAACTGGACTTGCTGATGGGCTGGATATGGGTACTGAAGTAGGGAGGAATCAGCATCTACTCCTAAACTTTGAGTCTGAAAAATAGTGCATTTTGGTACCATTAAATGAGATGGGGCAGACTGGTAAAGAAAGATGCGGGCAGAGGAAAATTTAGTGATTTTCTTTTGAACATGCATGTTAAATTTGAGATGCTTCTGAAACATCCGGGTATCAAAAATTAAGGTGGATATGTAAGGTTGGACCTAGAGGAGTGGTTTGGGGTACAAATACAAATTGAGGCTCACTAACATATTAAATCTTTAGAATATAATCACCTAGAGAAGAAGTATAAATAAAGAAAAGGTAGGGCTTAGGAGTACCCACAGAGAGGTCAGACTGTGGAAAAACCAGTTAAAGAAACGACACAATTCAGAAAGTAAGGAGAGAAAGTAAGAACATGTGATGTCAGAGAAGCCAAAAGAGGATGACATGGGCACTTTATATTTACAGACATACACATGGCTTTCACGTTGCAGAGAATAAAATGCCACCCATTCCCCCAAAAGGTATTTTATTCTATGTGCATTGTATGTCTGTTTCTGTGTGTGTCTCTGTGTGTGTAGCATGTGTGTGTCAATAATCACTGTAACAACCCTGGGATGTAGGTATTAATTCAACTATCTCTATTCTATGGATGAAATAATGGTATAATGAGAAGTAAAAAACTAGTCAACCACTTAAAAAGTAATGGAGCTTGAATTCATGTCCATGTCTAGTGACTCTGTAACAGACTCTTTTCATTACCTTTGTACCAGCCATTCCTTCAGAAGAGGCATTTCAAAAGGTCCATTCAAAATGGTTTGGAGGTCACCCAAAGACAGTTTGAACTTCCCAGGGATATAGAATCTTACAGAGGCTTCCTTGAAAACTAGAGGGTGGAGACCATTCCAGGTAAATGATTCAATACAAAGAAGTTACAAATGTGTATGACTATCTAGTACAAAGGTATTTTTACTGTGTTGGCAGGTTCCACTAGATTATTGCTTGCCCAATTATAAACCAATGACTGCTTCATTATCTGCCTTGGGTACACACAATGGCTATATTTTACTGATATTAACTATAAAGCTCAGATACCTGGAAAGTATATTTTGAAATAGATTATGACTTAGAAATTTGACAGAATTGTGCTACAACTCAACTTATTATAAGGTTAAACAACAAGTCATACCAAGTGCTCCCAAAATACAAGAAATTAATAGAGCATACATTCCAAATAGACCTGTATGGTATACATCAGTTCTAATATCATCACTTATTTGTCCAGTAAGTGTCTTTCAAGTAACTCTTCTGTACTAAGCACTCTTAGAGGCCCTGAGGTTGCAGTTATAGACAAAGTAGACCTACATCCATGCCCAGGTAACACCTAAAATCTAAGAGGGATTGTCAAACAATAAGCAAGATAAGGAAGTAAAATATTGTATGCTATCCAGTAATAAGGGTGAAAGAGAAACAATAAGGGAAGGAAGGTAGAAAGTATCAGAGATGGGGGAAGTTTTTAATAACGTAGCCAAGGAAGGATAAACTGTAAAAGTAAAATTTGATTACGTATCTAAAAGAAATAAGGGAATGAGTCATGAAAATATCAAGGGAAAGGACATTTTAGATAAAAGTAAAATCAAATGCAAAGTTCCTGAAGCAGATTTCTGCTTAGTGGGCTGAGGAACAGCAGGGCTAGTGTGACTGCAGGGAAGTAAGGTACAGAGGGAGGAAGAAGAGAGTTTGAGAGACAGTATGATGACGTGGGGTTTTTTTTTTTTTTACTTTAAAAGACTTTGGTTTTAACATTGCATGAGAGTGATTTTCCAGAAGAGTTTTCAATGGAGGAGAGACACACACTGTTAACATTTCATGAATAAGGGCACAAAAGCAGCACCGAGAGAGCAATTAGGAAACTACTGCAAAAATTCAGATGGGAGAGATGACAGCAGCTTAGAGCAGGGAGATGGTCATTTAGGTGGTGAGAACTGGTAGGACTCTGAATATATCTTGAAGATAGAGGGAGAGTTTGCTGTCAGATCTGACTCGGGATGTAAAGGAAAGAGAAGAATCAATAAGGACACTAAGGTTTTCAGCCTGAGCAAATAAAAGATGGCATCACACTGAGGTGGAGAAGCGGATTTGGGTGGACATAACAGATATTTAGCTTTGACAAATCAATGTTTAGATACTTTTTAGAAATTCAAGAACAGGTATTTAATAAGCAATTGTGTGTAACAGGCTGACTTTGGAGAGAGGTGTGCATAAAGGATATAAGTGGGGAAGGCATCAGTATACAGATGATATTCTTTTGAAACTGGATGAAATCACCTAGGAAGTGGAAATAGAAAAGAAACTCATCCTGAGGCTGGCCTCTGGGAATTCCAAAGTTTAAATTCTGAGAGATAAGGAGAAACCAGCAAAGGCTGAATAAAGTTTTGTGCAGACATTTTCTCTTTTGCCGTGTATGTGTTTGTGTGTTTGTATGTAGCAGGGTGGGAGGTGTTTG